AATAATTTAATTAATTTTATAATAAAATTAATAAAATTCTGTTTTAATTTTAATATTAATATTATTATTAATAAAATTAGCTGGGGTATCTCGGTATCTCAGCTCGTGATACATTCCGATATATAGATCTGTGCTTCTATACTCGTCTATCTTCTTTGATCGAATGTCCTCCGTTAATCTAATCGTCTTTTATTCGGCAGCGTTGAAACCGTGTTGCAACAGAAGAAACCGTCTCGCAGCAGCGCTAACATTCCGAGCATTAATGCGCGATTAGAATACACTACTCTGCCGCATTTGGAGCCTGATTTACCGCAGCCAGAACTAACGGCCGATAATATGCATCTTGCAGGTATGTAAAGACAAAAATATAATTAAAGTATATAGTATAAAGACAAAAATATAAAGTACATAATACAGAATATGTATGAAACGGACACGAATAATTTGATATTGAGATTTAAAATTTGATATTGAAAAGGTACACTTGTAATTTGATATTAAATTACGACGAACGTACGTCTCTACGTACGAAATATCCGAACATTTCTTTTCCCGCGATCAGTATTATCGTATGAAATATTTTCAGTGTCGCGCGACTCTTGCCACAAAGCGCACAAAGCAGGTAAAACTTAATTGAAATACCGTGTGGTGAAATTTGAGCATGAATGTGTGTAAAACGTCCTTTGATTTGACATAGTGTTTAATTAAACGTACGCTTGATGGTTTTATTATATCGGGGACTCCCGTCGGACAGTAAAGCTTTCAAGCACGCCAAACCTATGTTTTATCGTTCGCTTTTTCGTGAAAATTTGTAGAGAGTCTTTGAGTGTATTTTTTTTTTGTAATAAATCGAAAACGAAGAACATGTTCACGTTGTAATACGCTGTAATTTTCAGGGGTACTGGTGGTTTACATTCATTCCGCCGACAATCTCCACGGCGATACTGCTCAGTGTAATCCTTATTGCATGTTATTTAACAATCGGAAGAAGGTAAACGCAATTTACACTTACATATCGCATACGTTCGCAACACTTTAAAATCATATCCGTGCGGAATCTATTGTGTTTTTAGGTGAAAACGACGCATTACGTTCGCTCGACCACGTCGCCCGTTTGGGACTGCAGAGCGCAGTTCTTGGTACAGGATTACACGCAAGTGTCGCTGAGCTTCGTCATTTATTCGTGGAATATAGTAAAATCGATGGATACGGACATGCTTGGCTTGGCAATGCTATCTCTGTCTCAGGTAATCAAGTCCTGCCTAATAAAACTTTGAACTATTTAGCATAAAAATAAGAGAAAATCATAATCTGGAAAGAATTGCTTCTCAAATAAGATATGTATAGTACTTAAAAAATACAAGTACTTTATTTAAATTTGTGGACTTAACTTGTTTTCGTTTTTCAATCCTTCACTTCATGTTACTGTTATATTTATCTGGTAATGCTGCAAAAAATCTCAATAAAAAGCATAATTTTTTTTCAAAGGACGCGACGTGGATTGTCAGAAAGGAGCTCACACTCAGCGGATCGAATATCGCCTCCTCCATGACGGTCTCCGTGCTGTTTTATCCTATCAAGAGTGTGCAGCAAGTAGTTAACAGTCGTAGAAGCAGCTTGGTTCCAACTACGCTGGACGACGAGCCGAAGATCAAACGAAACAGTTTGCCGTGGATGCAACAGGCGGTCCGTTATAAAGTCTCATGTTTATCCGAGAAAAAATTTCTAAGCTGTGTCCACTCAAGTCTTAAAATATATTTACAGAAGCTGCTATTAACGCACAAGGACGCTGATCCCGCCTCCTCCGACATATCCAGCCTCCTGTCCACCGGAAGCGGTTTGATGGAGGTGACGTTGCTGCGCGCGAGGGATCTCGTCGCGAAGGACCTGAACGGCTTCAGCGATCCCTTCTGCGAACTAAAATTAAACAACGAAACGAAATACAAGAGCAGCATAAAGAAGAAGACGCTGAATCCTTGCTGGGATGAGAGTGCCATCATGGGCTTGCCGAAGACCGGAGAAGCTTTAGATATCGTAATTATCGCACATTTGCACCCTGCATCAAATGCATTTCGTCTCCGCGACAGAAAGATAATTTATTTTTTAATTTCGTCTTGTAGGTATTATGGGATCATGATACTTTCGGCATGAAGGATTACCTTGGGAAAGTATCACTGACTCTCGACGATATCAGAAAGCTGTCGAACAGCGATCAGTCCCATTGGTTTCCGCTCAGGGAAACCAAAACGGGATCTATAGAGCTGAAAATTAAGGTCTTGTCGGAAGAATGTGAGGTAATGTTCACGCAACAATAAACATCCTGTAATTCAGTATCTTGCAATTTCTCAAGTAGTTTCTCATTTATAAATCTCCGCTTGAAATTATATTTGCACTAGACGCAAAGCACGTACGCAACCAGCAATATCAGCGACAACTCTTCTCGTCTAAACACCGAGCCCGATTCCTTGTCGAGTATCGTGCGGAGGCCTTCCATGGAAAAATCTAAAATACGTCTACATTTGGATCCGGTTGTACCGCCACCGCCTCCACCGCGCACTGTCACCCTCCTGAAGCCGACCACGTCCAATCAGTCCGGTAAAAAAAAAATGTCATTTTAAATCTCAAATATTTAATATCTTTGGCATCGTATTGAACTTTTAATAAACAGTACCTATGTTGTGTTTAACGCGCTATAGAATTTTGATATATTTTCATGTAGACAAAATTAGCATCACCAGCAAAGACTCCAACGAAATGAATGGAACGCCGAGCTTCTGGATTCCGAAAGTCATCACGGAATCGGTCGCGGGTAATTCCATCGACGAGTCCGACACCGCTAAAGTGATCGCAGAGAGACGGGCCTCCCATCACAGCTTAACTCCCAGCCCCGAGCAGAGCTTTGGCAAGAAGATGCCGCAGTACAACAGCTTCCGCATGATGAAGCAAAAGGTAAAACGCATCGAGTTACCCACAATTGAAACTCAGTTTGAGATATTTCGTGTAATTGTAGGTGAAGAGGGGTTTAAAACTTCGTAGATTTCGTTCGGAAGTAACTATAGAGGATAAGAACGATAACAAGGGCATCACGTTGAGCCTGGAGCCCAGAGGCGGCGGCGAGGCCGACGCCACGGAGCTCTTGTCGGAATCCGGTTTGGCTCACGCGGTGTCGCAACCAGACATGCTGGGCAGGATAAGGCAGCCCAGTCCGCGATTGAGATTGAGGCCGAATGGTTAGTGATATTTTCACCCTGGATCTTGGTCGCATTTATTTTTGATGCAATTTAAAACAGCATAAAACTGAAAAAAATATATAAAATAGATACATGTTAGTCTTTTTTTTTTAATTTTAAATAAAGACGCTTCTTTTCTTTTAAAAAGGAGAATGGCTACAGCTTTAGAATTTAATGCTGAAATATGAAGTAAAATATATATAATATTGAAACATAACGATTTTTAGATTTAAAAATTGTCAACGGCACTAGAGAGAAGTATTCCGGAGTGGAAGGGAAGGTTCTTCAGGCGCAGGGTCTTCACGTAGCGCACATCGCCCAATTATACTGCCGAGTGAAGCTTCAAACGTAAGTATATAGTTAATACGATTGACGGAGATAATTTGCGGATAATTAAATTGAGAATTTCCAGGAGCCACAGTCCAGACAAGATCGTCTCGCCTAACGGCGGTAAGACCATCGCGAAATCGCGGCTCCTGCCAGCTATGCCTAATCCTCAGTTCAGCATAGATTTCCATATAGACGGCGACAGCGTACCGAGGCAGGCGTTACTGATATTCGAGATTAGGAGCGCCAGCAAGGAGTTGCTGGCCAGCCGACGTATAACTCTACACGAATTGCTAGGTATGATATTAAAAAAAATTATTCTCAACGAGAGTAAGATATCCTTAATTACGTTAAATAATTACGGCATACAATATATATATATATATATACGTGTGTGTGTGTGTGTGCGCGCGCGTGCGTGCGTGTGTATGTGTGTGTAATTTATATTCAAATTGACCTCATATAACAAATTTGATCTTATTTTAATTTTATTTTAATACAGCTTTATCTATTTTTTTCTTTTTGTCTTATATTTTTTAATTTATTGTTCCATATGTTTGCGCATATTATATGAGATTCGTTTGAAAAAATAGGTGTATCGGCAGCTACTGACGAGATTCACACGTGGTTGGCGTTAAATAACGGCGCCTCGCTGGAAGTACAAATCGCTCACGGAAGAGAGCTTAAGAATAAATCGGCGAAAAAGTTGTTCCGCTCTTGGTCGGTTCATCGGATAGGGAAAATATGAGATCTAAAGAAAACCAGATGCTGCAGTTGTGTATCTATTTAACATGCATTTATATAAAGCCACAAAATCTTTTAACTCGTTTCTCGGGAAGGAGTCTAATTGTAAGTTCGAGAATGTAAATTCCGTCAGCATTCATTGCATTAATAAGGAATGAATAAAAAGAATAAATAAAAACTTTTTGTTATCCATTCCTTATTTAAGGCAAGGAATATTTTTGCAAGACGATTATCTTTTACAATTTTTTTATAAGCTGTATAGAAAAATTCTTAATATCACGTCCAGCCATATATTAAGACTCCAATTGCATTCCATGTGACGTTCATCTCAGCTTTTTTGTATGATTATATTAATGAAAATTTATTATTTAAAATATAATTTTTGACAAAATTGTACAAGTTGAATTAGAAAGAGATATATACAGAGAGAGATATATATATGTATACATCCTAATTTATGTATATTATAGATCTTTTTTAACATTTGCAAAATTTAATACAGAACTGCATTGAGATATCGATGAGAAATATATTAAAATACCATTTCGTTTTCAATTGCGTAATTTCTGATATATTACATTTGTACATTTACATGTATTGCTATATTTCATAATACAATATATATTATAACATAAAATATAATAATATAATAATATTAAGTGTATATTTTGTATTACTCAAATATATATATTATATATATATTATACATACAATATATTATATATAGATATAAATATATTATCAGAGTTTATAATTCAAATTGCTTTTATATCACATAATTATTGAACATTACAGATATGAAATTTGTATTTCAATAGATACAAACTTGCGTATATAAGAGATTATATATATATATACGACAAATGATATACTTTTAGTCTTATTTCTCGATATACATTTTTTTTTTAAGTATAGGCACATATATAGATCCTAAATCTGAAGCTTGCAATCACAAGAGTTCATTTTTTATTAAAGAAAGATTAACAATGCATAAGGATTATCTTTTTGCTCATAAATATTCTCATTCATCATCTAAAATTTAAGTTTATACAATAGTAGCTCTCTGAAAACATATATAAATGTAATACATTTATATGTATATCATATATATCACTGGTAAGAAAATAGAGGATCACTCATTTAGCAGATTAAAGCAGAAGCAAAATTAAGCTTCAAACACGATTGCAAAATTTTAACAATTCGCAGTGGTAAGTTCAGCGAATTTTAAAACATGTACAATCATGTATATATATATATATATATATAAATACATATATAACTTACATATAAAATATGATAAAAAAATATACGCGTCAGCTGGAAACAAATTCTGGTACCAATCATTCGATTTCAGCCGATGTATTTTGTTAAATTAAATGACTTGGAACTTACTCTCCCATAACTCTATGTAAATTATACAAAATAAGATTGCACTTGTGTGACTATAGCAGTTATCGGTGATGTTAGGTCTGCCTCACTTTGGTCAGCCAAATGTAGAATACTTAATCCTCCGAATATAGAGAAAATATAGAGCTCAATCATAGTCGAGCCCGCAGTATCTTTCTCTTTCTCTCATCGGTTTATTGTACCTGCCACTGAAAATAGATACGTCAAAAGCTCAGTGAAATCTTATTCAAATGTATATTTAAACGATGAAATCAATCATCCAATATTCTCACCCGTAGCGTAGGCTGCGTGCCACTAGCGGCAGCCTCCTGCTCTCGCTTCTCCAGTTCCAACGCCCGTCGCTGCTGCCTCTTGACGGACTCTACATCCTTTATGCCCCGTTGCTGTTGCTCGGCTATCCTCTTCTCAGCCGCTTCCGCCTGTTTCCTACGTATAGTTTCCTGTGCAGGGGAAAAAATGCAAACAAAAAAAAATTGTCAAAGTGTCAAAGATATTCTCCAGAGCAGCTTTCTAGCGCGACAGAAGAGCGGGGAAATAATAGTTATTGAAAGAAACAATTTTTGAGCGACCGAGGCTTTTGTCGCTTTTCTTTTGGAGAAACAGAAGCGACGGCCAAGGTGGTTTATCGAGCGTGGTTATGACGATTTAACGATTTCTTTTTATCGCTCGGGGGGGAAAAGGATTAATAATTTACGTGCGCGTTTATAACCTACGCGCGAGACGTACCCGATCGGGAGTGAGATCCTCGTACGACGACGATCCCTTGATACAGCACCCGCAACAGTTGCCCATGCTGAATTGTCACCCGTGCGCGAAACGTACTTACACGATTGTCGCGGGAAACGTCGCCGTTAAATTGGATCAACGACGGGCGGCGTGCGTATGACAGATCCGAGCAATGGCTGTCGTCAACAATCGCCGACGCGACGGCCATATGACATATGTATGTATGTGCAGTGTCGTCACTCGGGGTCTCCTGGCGCCCGCGAATGCACAAGTGAACTGGTGCATGAATCATTCGTGATGATTCGCGGCAAGGAAAATATCCTGCATTCCTTAATACGAGATAAAAACAAACCAAACAAGTTTTTTACTATTATTTGTGACTTTTAAATTTTCAATAATTTGCAATAAATAAAGGCTCGTCTTATGTTTCTTAATACAAAATGAAAATGAATGAAACAAAATAGGAAAGAAGAAAGGAACAAATTTTGTACGAAAATAAAATATGATATAAAATAAAATATGTGTTTCTCTCAAAAATTGGGAAATAAATAGCGCTTTTCATTTATTTCACATATAGTCTTAAAATTTGTGTTAATCTGCAACAAGAAAGATGTTACGAGATATAAAATAAAATAAAATAAATGGAAAGAATTTTGTGCAAAAGTAAAAATTATTTTTACTCATTAAACATATAGTTCTTAATTCGCAATAAATAATTACGTTATGTTGCGCTTTTTAATATGGAATTAAAAACAAATTAAATAAAATGAATAAAGTACAAGTATTTTATCAATAAAAATTGTTTCTTACTTACCGTATATATTACTTACCGTATTGCTTTGAAAATTAATATTTTACGGCCATTTCAATTAGATGATATTTTAATGGCTCGAGTCTCTCCGAATCATCGACGATCGGTCACGTCAAAATTCTCCAATTAATTCTGCTACGAAAATTTGTCCACTTTCGCGGCTAATAGTTTCGCGATAATAATTCGACGATGATTATACCCAAACAATAACTGTCGCGCGATAAGTCAATTATCGAACAGCTAATTGCTATCTCCGGCTTATCAGAAGCAACATGGAGAGTGGATACTCCGCGTTTATATGAACATATATGAAATAACGCACGGGGATTTAATACGATTCATCTCAGGGAAAATGCAAATATGCAGTTTAGAAACGTATGTTTCAAGAGCAAGTAAGGCGAGGAAGAACGAAGAGGATCCGATTATTTCGTCGACAATTATGAGGAACGCGCGAGAGTTGAACTCCGTCTCCTCCGTTTTGCGCAGTGATGCTAATGTACACATCTCTGAAAACTCCGGCCTCGCCGCCGATAGCTCCGACAGCGGGCAAATTGGATTTTCTCGTTACTTGTATATTAGCGCTATCATAGCGCCTATTCTACTCCACGGGGCGGAATCGAGTTTCGCGTGTGCCCTCGCGCGCGCCCGACTTTGCGAAAGTGCCGGCCGCCCTCCTGGACGTGTCAATTTAACCCCGCGAACCGGCTGGATTTTGCTACCACTGACCGTAAAACTGATTCAATTTCCCCGCAGCGTGAAATTGCGTTTAAAATAAAAATCGTGACTCTCTGCAGAACTTGATTTGAAGGAAAAAAAAAAACGGGAAACGGGAAATTTCCAGGGGATTTGATAATCGTTGCATTAAAATTAACGCGCCACCAATACTGCCTGTATTTTCATCGTTTCTCGGTGTTTTTATCTTCAGATATTAAACGACCTAATCAAAACATACACGTGCAAACATAATTAACACATATATGTGTTAAGTAAAATAAATATATAAAGATGTTTCGTTAAAATACTCATTCGTACGTCATTAAATTCTTTACAACACCTTGATGACACTATATCAGATTATAAGAAAAAAATTGTAAAATCGGTCTGTAAGATGATCGATTATCTTGATTAAAATTTCGATGGACACACACGCGCTTCCGCGCACGTTTTCTTGTTCAACGAATCTTTTTTAAATTTCTCCGCAAATTAAAAGAGAGATATGTGCATCTCTAGATAGAGCACCTGCACTTTTCGCGACCTAATTTAGGTGGAACGTACACGGAAGGGAGCCTCAATGTACATCGGCTTTCCACGCTATTCACGACGATACGTATGTCTTCTCTTATTAATGTCGGCGCAGCTGGCGCGCGAACGGCCGACAGAATTGGGAAAATTAAATGTCGTCTTCCAGAAACGCGGCGCTCCATCTCTTCTCCAGACGGAGACGGGACCGCGCGGGATATCGAGCACCAGAGTTACACGTTGTTTGCACTCGCGATTAATCAACGTTCTCGAGCGCTCCGATATCCAGGAGACCCCGACGGGCCCGAGGGAATCCAATTCGTTCGGTCATTCTGCGCCCACTCGGGACTCCTCTTCGCTTCGCAAAAAAAAAAAAAAAAATCTTTCCCGTTCGTTACTTGTTGAGCGCCAACGCGAAAACTCCGTTGCTGAAAGCTCCGAGAAACTCTCTTGAATAAGGCTCTTGAAACGCATCTACGAATATCGACCCTACGGCGGAATATCGTTGCGACAAACCGTATCCGGGAATGCATTTCCGCTCCGCTTCGAAGTCTAAAATTGGTGAAATGATTTCTCTTTTTGGCGTTTGTCGATGGAGATTTATAAATTGCTCTGAGATGGCAGTGCATTGATATAAAGTATATAGCACGAAATAATTATTAATATTGTATAAGAAGTTTTATCATTTAATAAAAGAAGAGCAAATGCTATTAAACCACATTCTTCAACATCAATTTGACATTCTTTAACGTTAATAAAATAACGAAACATTTACTAAGTGTGCGATTTATCATTTCCTTTATAATATACTTAAATATACTAATACAATATCTTTTATATTACTAATACAATAAAATATTTTTGTATTAATACTAATAAAGGAGACCAGAAGTCAGTTTTCTCGTTCATCTTATATTAATTAATGCCATATTAATCACGAATGCAGTTGTTGTATAATATATATCGAAAACTTTCGAGCACGCAAAGGTTGTAGACTTCGAAAAAAAAGGAAAGTTAAGACATTTTTTTTTTTAGCACCGGCATTCATTAGCATCGCGATGCGTGGTTAAATAAACATCGGAAAGTTTTTATGGATTCATACAAAACTCGAACAACCTCTCTCATCGTAAACCCACGGGCCTAAGGTCGGATAATGGGAAACAAGAAACAAGTGGAGAAAGGAGGAAGGGAGCGGAGACGAGGAAGATGAGAAGATTATGCTCTTGGCAATGGCGCGCAATTATAGAACACGCGGCAAACTTTCGCAATATCTGTACCCAACTTTCATTGCTTAATACAGACTGCATTCTAAGGCGTGAGTGGCTTTTTAACCTTAGTCCGCCCGTTACTCTCTTCTTTCGCATATATATTAGCCATTCTGGATGCCATCTCTCAGAACCCTCATTACAGAAATGTACCTCCCTGCGAGATTCGCGTAGCTTTTAATCAATATGACTCGCTATTAATAATAAGCAGTAATGAGAGTTCTCTGATGTGCTTATTCATTCTTCGTTCTCTATTCATTCCATCTCCGCGTGTCTCTTTCCCTTATTAAAAGAAAATTTAAATAAAACCTGTATATGTATATAATATAATACAAACTAATTAAGATAATCGCAAAAATATAAATACAATGAATCTCTTATATCTGCAGAAAAATTAATATGCTTCAATCCTTCTTTAAAACGCTACTTGCGTTTGTTTGATAATGACTTAAATAACTTTTTATTGATTTTAATCCGCCTTCAAAAATTTTATATATTTATCACAAGAGTAAAAAAATATAAAAACATTTTTCGAATATAAAAGTTTAATCTCCTCCCTCTTCGCCGCCCCCCCGCTAACCTCTGAGTGACACAACGTTGGAATTACGTCACGATGAAGAGTGCGCGTCGATCGGTCGCCATGTAGCGCATGCATAGTTCGCGAGCTCGCCGCTAGGCTTCGCATGAGTTGATCAGTTACTCGTGTTTAAAATTGGTTCACGATGGTAATAAATTGGGGCTCGCCGCGGCTGAAAGCATACTTACCTGGCGCAGAGGTTACCGTGATCATGAAGGCGGTTCCTCCAGGGCGAGGCTCTTCCATTGCACTACGGTTGAGCTGACCCTTGCGAATATCCCTAATGTGGATATCTCGGGCGTACAATTTTTGATAGTCGGGACTGCGTTCGCGCTATCCCGGTGCTAACAGAAGGCAAACAGAATTTACAGGAAAAAGGCTCTGCTCGCAAAGAAAGCAGCCTTAGAAATTGCAAGATTCTCTAACCTGATTGGTTTTTATACACAACAGTTGCAAAGCTGTTTCCTCTGCTTGAACTCAGCTGTCTCTACAAAGAGTCCGATATTTAGGTTAGGCTCATATCGGATTACAAATTGAAATTGATTTTCTTTCTGATTGGTTTAATTCCAATCCAGTCTCACATCTATAATTTGATATATTTGCCGATGTTACTCCTCTTTATTTAGTAAGTAAACCTTGACAAGAGAGTAAGTTTTATTTCACAGTGAAAAGATTTCCTTGACTTATACAGAGGAACTTATTCCACGATATTTTTATTCTCGCGTATGTTTGAAACTTGTATAATATGCTAGTATTTTAATAATTTTTTTTATATACCTTTATGTAATTTATTATATATGTATGTTTTTTTAAATTTCTTATAGATTCAATTTTATATGTTAGATACAAATTCTGTAGTAGATAATATAATATAAATAAATTTAAATATAATAAATATAAATAAATTATAAATAAATATATATATATGTATATGCCAGTTTAAAAGAGTAATCGATATTTTTCATCTCTCGCATGTATGACGTTATTGCAATAAAATATGTTTTAATGCTATAATTGCAATAATACAATTAAATACAATACTTTGTTCTTTCAGCTTTTTGAATTTTACCAGAGATATGTACCTATTGTATTTTTTTAATACGCGTTTCCATTTTGTAACATCCTCTAACCAAATAATAGTGAACGTGATGAAATTTATTTTTTAAATCTTCATATTTTTTTCATAACAATGGTATTCATTCAAGTCCCTACATTGTGCAATAACATCGATAACGATACATGTCGGATATTATCGCGCTCGTACATACAAGGTGTCCTCTTGAAATTGAAAGACCCGTAAGCTGATAGCGAATTCGATGTCCCTGAACGTTAAAGATAAGTAAGTTCCGTCGGGGCGAGATCGATCTCTCTCGACGTTATCGCTAAGGACAAGCCGTTTTTTCTATTGAATGAACGCAGAGTAAGACGTCCGACGGAGTTCCGGAGGAGGTGCCCCGTATAGCGCGGCGTATACGTTACCGTGGTACACGGTACGAATTGTTGCCCTTTAAATTCCATTAAAAGCTGCAGGCACTAAATCGTGGCGTCCCGTGAGAACAGACGGGGCATGCGCCGTGCCAGGTGCCGGCTGCTGCGGTTCCCGTGGGAGGTGCGCCGAGAGTACGAAAAGCAAGGACGACGGCGAAGGCGCAACATAGCGCGCGCTTCGTTATGCTCTTCTCGCGGGGTTGAAACTCGGCTCAGTTGGATCGCGACACCCTCCGCCGAAGGGTCGAGCGCGACAGGGTTGTGACGGTAGAGTTTTACCGATGAGTGTCGCGTTGTGGCTCTCGTAGACGTCCCTTATTTTTGTTCTTTCGACATCCGCGAGAATAAATATATCACGCGGGTAGTCGAAGATAATATTGCAAAATGTTTTAATTAACTGCGTACGTAGAAGAAACATTAAAGATTCCTAATTAATTGAGAAACGACGATTATTTTATATTTCTGTTAAGAGACCCAAGAAACATAACCATTTTTTTTTACTGTATGCATATGTAAAGTGCGCTTTCGCCGAAGTCGCGCGATTTAATGATTGATAAATATCGATTTGAAAAAAATCGGGAACATTAAACTATGATTCCGAGCTCCGCTACAACTGAAGAGCTATTCTGTCGAAGAGATTAGAAAATCTTGAAACGCGGGGTCGGTAGATCGATATGCCGATGATCGATTGCGCGCGCGACGAGTCGCTGCAGTAAGTAAAAGTAAACGTGAATCGTCGTTTTATCGGCACGTGCGTTGTGCTTCCACGACTGTCGGCGGAATCGACAACCCAAGGTCGTCGTGGTGGCCGGTGACGGTGAGAGCAAGGTCGTCAGGGTCGCGGAATCGCGAGGAGAATGTGGAGGAAAGACGCGACCAGGCTGGCCAGACTGATCGTCGTCGCCACGCTAATTTCTCTGACCGCCGCCGGAAGCTGCAGCTCTGCGAAGCTCTGTTGCCAGGGCCGGGACTCGGGCTGCGTCATTCAGAAGGAGTCGCCGAACGCGATTATCGAGAGCCCGCGCGACAAGCCGTGCTACTGCGACCACGCATGTCTCAAGCTCGCCGATTGCTGCGACGACTTCAAGGAGACCTGCGGTGGTACGTGGCAATTTTGCACGGTGGGCTTGTGGGCGCGTAGCGACGGGCACAATGTTGAAAAGAAGATGGACAAATCTTTGAAATTGGACGCTTAAATCGTCCATTTACACAAAAAAAATATTATTGTCAGTGTAAAAGATTATTTTTTGTTCAAATCAAGTAACAAATAACCTATTATTTTTCATTTTCTTTTTACGAGTATTCGGCCAGTTTGCAGAAACTCACTTTTTAGTTTGATTTAATTTTCCATACCCATTTGCAGTTGAAATTGACTCGTATTTTCTTTGCGCAAGAACTAGAACGAATTGTAAATACTGTACACGCAGGTTTATTCAGGATAAATTTTTTCTCATATTCATCAATTACGAGAACATTTTATAATAGATATTACTGCTATTCCTATATAATTCTTTAATGAGAGAGTTATATTGAGCATTATTATAATTGACATATCTAATTAGAGTCAAATAAGTCGATATTTGATTACGAAATAGATATTACACGGAATAATATTTATAATTAAAGCTGGCGAAATTAAAGTACGGAATAAAAAATGCTGTTGCATCAATTAATTAAACTTGGAAATACATCAAAAGAAATAATCAAAGAAATAATCAATAAAAATTGTATAACAAAATCGCGCAGAGAATTAATTAGCAGACGACGGTCCGTCCCTACTTATTTTCGCTAAGCACGCGCTTAAACACACATACATACATACATACTCAACGCGTCTCGGATTTTGCAGGATTACGCTGAATCTTAAGAACGTAGCCTGTAAGTAACGTACTTGCTTTAACGTATTAACACGGGCGAACTGCAGTCTCACCCTGGTACGCTAAGCGACTTACTGTCAGTAAGTTTTTAATATTATCGTGCGTCATCGAAGGGGAATTTTTGTTGACGAAGAATTTTGCGCGCGGAAGCTTTTTGCCGGACAGTGAGTCCATTATTTTTCGTACTTCATGTCGACGTATCAACAGCCTGCGATATATGATTCGTTTTTCTCTCACGATGCCTTCAAAACCAATATCCACTTTCAATTTTCGATCAAAGCAACCACACATGACTGCTCAAAAAGATGCTGATGCCGCGTTTCGCCAGCATCAATACAACACACAATGCTGCGCGTTTTCGTGAGAATTTAATCAAATATCGAGCAATTATCAATCTGACGTAGATACATTGATATATTGCGTTCAACAGAAATCGATGTGTGCTCTCGACTGTCAGACAACGTTTCAAATGATTGCGCCGTCTATTTGATGTATCATCAAAACACTGATTAATATGTCCATTTATGGAGTCCCAGAACATGACAATGAATTTTATCGAGGATATTATATTATCGCAGAAATTATGCATTCGGTAGAATTAATTTAAATTTCGCGAACGTTAATATCAGATGATAGCTGAATGTAAAAAAAAAAATAAATTTTAGATAAAATGATATATGTCTGATGCATAGCTCTCTCCGTGCGTGTATTTCGCGTTTTGAGGAAAGGGCCTATAGGGAGCCGTCCCACGCAAAGATCGGAAGAATTATTGCCGCTATATTGCCTAAGTAAAGATGATAACGCTGACCGAGAGATCAGCTCTGACAAAGCATAAAAGTAAGGAATATCTTCGCAAATGTACCTACTTCGCAATTTATAGACTGAATCTCCTGATGCTCATATTCTGCAGATTTATGGCATAATACGAATATAATATTACCAAGTTTTTCACCGCTGCGAAAATGCAAATCGCCAGTGTTTTCGACAGTACAGACTCTGCTCTAATTTTTTTGTATTAAACATTAGAGAATGGCATTACAAAATTAATTTATCTTTATAAATTCGATGATATTTTTTTGCTTATTGACTTATTGACTTTTAATTGCTGCTTATATAATAAAACGTCGCTACAACAATTTCTCTAATGTTCATTTTACTATCACTATGTACATACATAAATGTATGTATAAATTTTTATTTCCCGTGTTTGCATAATAGACGGTCGAATTATTCTACGTCGATGCACAGTTGTTCGAAATTTTATGGCTCGCCGAACGACGCACCTGTTAATAGCAAAGGGATTAATGTTATTCAATTCACATTTCCGTTCGTTTAACACGGCTCTGTTTTACCGGTTTAATTGCCAGATAATCGACGGGCACGCGATTAAATTGTTCGCTAAACAACGGTAACAACGTCAAATAAAATCCGCGTTTATGCGCCTATTGTTTGTCGCAGGTCAATTATAAAGCGCGAAATGTCTCTCTCCTATCTCTTTCTCTCTCGCAGAGTAGACGCGCGCCGAGGGCGCTCGCCGAAGAGACGGAAGTGACTTTATCGCGTCTGACTGCATTTTCATCCATTTTCGTCGGAATGTTCATCTTTAATGTCCTCATTTCTGGCATTTCTGCTTGCGAAGCTGCGAGGGAGCCGGCATTCGCCGAAGCTAAGGCTGCGCGCGGCCGGAACGCGATTATTCACGCTTGCCGGCCGAGAGGAGAAGTGTCGCTCCTTCCGACTTGAAGATGTAACGCGCGGTAGTTGCGGGCTGACAAAATCGTTTCCTCGACGAGAAGTGACGCGAAGCCCGTCCGTCTGGAAGCGCAGGGGATAATCCTATTCTCGTCGTAGGCTTCAAAACGAGACGTGAATTTACATATTTTGTAAACGGGATCGTCTAATGGAATCCTTCGCGCAGGAGAAACGTACTTATTGCAGCCGATTTGCATCCGACATCCACGCGATTTCCGAGTGAAATGTAAAGATTACACGCTTGCGAGTGAAAATACCGCCCCTCCGTAATCCGTTCTCAATTTATAATACCAGCTTCCTTATCATTTTTAACACGTCAAGACAAGATGGCACCGTACTCATTCCACAAAAGCAGCGCGAAGCGTTTTGGGCGTAATAACGGGAAGCGAGAGGGGAAGGTGGTGCTGGGAAACGAAAAATGATCACGTTGAGCATTTTACCATGGTTAATGATACTTCGACAGTAACTTTGTGAATTTATCTTCCGAAGTAACTCGGGAGGGAGAGGGAGAGAAAGTCGAATGCACATAAAATATTCTCGTCCGTCTCACGCGGAGAGCGGCGTAAGTTCTGATGACATGACGTACAACATGTGACACCTTATTATTGATCGTTATAGACCAGTGACAGTGCATTATTTTCCCCTCCCCATATTGCCGAGTAGTGAATCCCCAATATCGTGTATATCATTCGACCGTTCGCATTCACCGAACCCGCGTCGACCAGCGGGCACGCGAAATAATTTAGTTCGAGCGTACAATCGATCGACGAGCCAAGTCCCGGCGATCGCGTTCGACGGGCGGCTCTGCCGAGTCGAACTACAAGCTGCCGTGTAACTATAAAAAAGAAGCGATAAACAAGTGGTTATAATCTGCACGGCATGGTGTTCTCGCCCAGCTCGCTGGCAGCCTAATGCAAAATGCAACTCGAATTTTACTTCCCCTCGCTCCCTCCCTCCCTCGTACCTGCGGTTCCGCAGTCAGCGTGGCCGCTTCGGCCTTCCCAATGAAATATTCCTCTCATATTTGTGCAGACTGTCCGCTCAGCCGATCGTAATAATAAATCTTTACATTATTACTGATTGAAAAACGGGAGGAATGAGAACGTTATACGCGAAAATTGAAAATGCTAATGATTATATTAATATATCAATATGTACGTGCGAGAAGTACAAATGTTACGAATTATAATTACATTAATAAGGTAACGCACGTCATTTAATTATACGCTATTTGCGATAAAATGCGAATACAAAATTATACAAAGTATTTAATTTAATTTTATTAATACGCGCAATATGTCATTCTCATATTCTCTCTCTCTCTCTCTCTCTCTCTCTCTCTCCTCTTCCTATTTATGATAAATTTCACTTTGCAGTCATTTCAAAGTTAAGCTCAATCTCTCTTCTCTCTATTTTAAAGTTGAAAAAGCAAAAATGTCGTTTATACGAATACTTTTCTCTAATTGCCTTTTCAACTTGCGTAATGACGTTCTATTATGGGAAAGAAACATCTTAGAAATGTGGAATAAATTGTATCGTCCGACCCCCGCTCTGTGTGTCGTCCGACGGGAAACAAGATATCTCTCGGTTAATTGCCCGACTCGCGCTTAACGTAGTCATTTAAAAATTCAGTATGCAAAATAATCACTGCACGATATTTCATTTAAAACACCGTTTAATTAACGTCCGTGACGTCGATCGTTCCACTTTTTAAAATGTCGCGATGACTTGTTCTCGATGCATTTCGCGGAAAATGGAGCATCAGCAGCACGTTAAATGAATTTCCACCCTTCGTGTTCTACGCGCTGCTTAATGGAGAAAAGCATCAGTGATTGTCGACGCGTTTATCGCATTTTTACTCATCTCAAATTGTCTCTTCATTTTCCTGGCGATACGACGGAGTAACAACGCACGGTGAGATGCATTTTGGAGGGACGCTCGTAAATCGCCATTTCTGCGAGCTGCCTTTTATGCGCGGCGTAAAATATCGCACTCGGGAAAATAACGCGCACTCGGTCCCCTCTATGCACACGCATGTCTCCTACTAAAAGCTGCAGCTTTAAAATTTTATTGTAAGAAGTTATATATCTCCTAATTAAAAAATGTTACGTTGGTAATGTAATATAAAAATGGAAGCTGCAGGAGAGTCTAAATGATAAGAACACCGAAAGCGTCCCGTTATCGATTTATCAATCGCATTTTACCGGCGCGGCACTTTCGGGACACTTTTATCGTTCGTCTGCGAGAAACGACCAGATGGCCAGATCTTAACGTCGCGCTCATTCCCTCCTTACAGTGGTCGACTGCGTGGTGAGCGAATGGAGCCCGTGGTCTCTGTGCGATAACGGATGCGGAAGTGGCACTCAAAGGCGCAGCCGGGAGATCGAGATCGTGGAAAAGAACGGCGGAAAGCACTGTCCGCCGTTGGACCACTTGGACCAGGAGAGGACGTGCCACAGCTTCCACGAATGTCACGCCGGGATTCGCTCGCAGCAGCCGCATGCCAAAAGTGAGCGTCGATCGATCTCGGGGGAGATAAGTCGCATTTTACTTTAAAGCAAAATATTTCCAAACAAAGTTAATCATTAACTAGACTTATAGACGGTCAATTTGCGCAACGTAATTATAAGGACAAAGTTATTCTTATATTCTTATTTCACATACGAATAATCGCTAAAATAATCGCCCGATAATTTTTCTCGCGATAATTATTACAATTCGCAACAACTGTCGCGTGATTATAACTGAGAAGTAAATTGCATCGGAGAAGATTGTGGCACAAGAAAGAATATTATTTCCTTCTATAGTGTCTTCCTCGTGTTTCCCGGTTTCTGCAAAAACTGTAATGGTCTGACGTTTCTCTCAAGCACTTTCCGTTCTAGGAAGTAAGAAGAGCCGGATTATCTTCGATTGTATCTACCGCGACGCGAAATTCTTGACGTCTGTCTACCGTTGCTCGATCCTAGGCGATTTCTTTTCATTTGCCGCAGGTGTGACGCTCCTTGCGATTTTTCCGGGCGACGGCAACACCACGGATGTAAGGATCAAGGATAGGATCGTCGATAAAAGGTAGGTCAAGCTCCCCCCCGCCCCCTCGCGCGCTTAGTCTTCGGATTCGTGCGAAATGCGATTTGCCGCACATGTTCCCAATTCGCGCTGCGAAGAAACAACGTCTTTCCCGTTTTCTCGATTGGCACGGCACGAAAGTAGATAAAACAACGAGATGGATTTTCGTGAGAAAATTAAAGCGCAAAATGCTTCTACCTAGTTTGTTTCGCGTAATGAACTTGGCTGGAACTTGTCGTTTATTGGCGTGAGAAATCTTTCAGTCGTTTAACTTAATTAGGTAACGATCACATGAATACCAAACGAGATTGGATAAATTACGCGATTCAATAGAATATCCGTATCGCTTGCAGCAGAATAGACGATGTCTATTAATGTGTTTAACGCGTAACGCGTTTATCCCTTATTCCACGCCGTGTATATGCGCACCGTCGAATGGTACCTACAATTAATAATCTTCAATCGCATTTTGTATGCGTTATTAATGGCGCGGGCCGTTCGCGCGTGACTGATGAGTTGACGCCCTTAATTTTCAAAGTTCGTTACCCCTTCGCGCGCGATCAAGCATCGCGATTCAATTCCATTAAAAGCCCTCTACACTTTGGCGAGGGATACACCTCTCGGGGGATACATTTTTAATTCCGCGCCGTGCTCTAACCAAGACAGAATCGCCGATGTGTCGGGGATCTAATTTGACACGTGCCTCCGACCTGTTACACAAAACACGTAGCAAACATCACGTCGCGGTATCGAGAATCCCTTGTGACGTTGTGCCGAGCGGGCAAAGCAAGCTGCAGCGGCCGCCTCACAGCCTGTGAGCTCCCCGTCACACAGTGGTGTGATGTGGCTAACGAGAAAACATGCCGGAGGAACGTACACGTTTTGTTCCCCGGGCTTTGCGATATTTAATATAAAAACCAATATTACACACGTTTCAGAGGCAGCTGCATTCCTTTCACCATTACGTGGATCTCGCGGGGTTGCAGCAAGTTTTTGGAGTTACTTGGGAAAGGTTCGTATGAATAATAATTGGCTCGCGCCGCGATAGTCGATCCTAATCTTAATCGGAAATAGGACTTTTATTTTAGCACGACGCTATTTTCATTTATCGAGGTCGAAGATCCAAATATGAATCCGATATATAGAATGGATACCGTAATTTTCCTCTTCCTCTTGATTCTAAATCTATCAAAATAATTAAAATTAGTTTCTTTCCTTGACAAAGATTGAATTTATCATGTTTGACGTATATATTTTTAATTTATATAGAGACGTATATAATGTTTCTATAAATTCTTAGATTTGCTTTATTAATTCATAAAATATAAATCATTTGTATTTAAAGTAAGATATTGTTATTTGCGTGCACATTTAAACCTTTGAATCTTGAAATTAAAAATAATAAATTATTCTTATAATTTTTAATATTATGAAATTTTTTATAATTCGTATCTCGAAACGTTGGAATAAATCAGAAAACTTTGAGTGACGTTTTCACGATAAGAATGAATATCAGATGCTCAGTGAGACATTGCAGAGCTTATAAAAACAGTAAGTATATATTGCTACGAGGAGGAGGAAAAACAACGGCGGATGCTCCGCATACCGCGGCCATTCTTTTTCGCGGTTAAGTCCTTGCCCCGCGCGCTCAAGCTTTTTGTAACCATAATGCTTCGAAGAGACAATAGACTTGTCTCTTCTTGCGAAAAACGTTTCGCATCTCCATGGCGGTATGTAAAACTCGGGATTACGCTTCGAGCGAAAAATTATCGCTCCGCGAAAGTCTTCCCTCTTAGCCGCCTGACATTATGATAAAAGCAAGATTCCTTAGCCCCGCATGCCCGGCGCGAGTTCCGTAACTTGCAATATTAATTTTAACTTTTTGATATTCTCATTTATATACGTGGAACACGAAACTCGCGAAATCGTTTATACGCTAATAAATAGGTACGTTACTAAAAAGAGGCACTCAACTCTTCTATAAAAAAAAAATTGTTGTCATTCAAGCTTTTGCACGCGCGACCAAGATATAACTTCAAACATTTATTGAAACGTACAAGAGAATTATGCTTTACGGAATAGAATGGATACAGCAACACAACTGTTTCTCCACAGTTGCTGAATATTTTACCTACCTTAACTTTACCTGTATGTATCTGTATTAACGTAAAAAGTGACGATAAATGTTTCGTTGGTCGAAACGTCTTGCGATTGTATAATTATTCGTACACTGATTTTGTCATCTCCGTGAAAGGAACCGGGATCCTTTACGTATTGTCAGAACCGCGTAATAAGACGGCGCTTTTAACGGAATCTAAACTCCTGAAATTCTGAATACGAAATTCGCATAATGACGAATCGCGCCGCCAGCGTGGAAATGAAGCGACTCGATCTAGTCTCAATTAACGTGCACCACGATTACGCGACGTAACATCATGTAAATTAGAGCGTAGCTCCCGCGACGCTGCTCTACGACGGCTGTTATCGCGAAGGAATCGACCGGATGAAGTGGATGCGGTGGTGGAGATAACAGTTGCTTCCTACTGGCGACGTATCTAAAGCAGATAAGCCACGAAACGCGGAAATCTGCGGACGAAAGCAAGTTATTTTAACGATGACTTATTTATTATCTCCGCGTCGCCGTTAAATTAGGCATATCTTGCTTTCCCCAACTTGTGTGCCTTTTGATTTTATCATTTCGCCTCTTTTGTTATAATTATTAAGAGAAATTAAATCGCAATTGCATTTTTTCAACGTATCTGTTTAAAAGAATATTAAAATAATCGTTTAAACGTACGTTTAAAAGAATTAATTATTAATAAAAGAATATTTAACTGCCGAATACGTAGTTACAGAATTGTTGATTTTGAACTTCTTACATTAGGGTTATGTTAGATGTAGAAAAAGAATTCAAAGCTAGGGATTAAGAACATACGTTAAAAGCTGAAAAACGTAAAAATAATCCGCAAAGTCGAGGGCGTGTAATTAAAATTACATGTCGTTCGAAAGCAGAAACGGTGAGCGATTAAAATCACCGCAGGTTTGTCGATTTGCGTGGAGCGTCCCGGTAACGAGAGTCTGGACAAATACGTGGGATACGGCAAGTGGAAGCTATCGACCGATATTCTTGGTAGCGGCAATCGGCACGGGCGATCGACGAGTTCGATCTGCCACGGAAGGTGGTACGGCGATTCGCAGCTGGTGGACTGTCACGATTCGCGATGCGTTCGAAAATCAACCCCGTACACGACCGCGCAATGGTTCCGGCGCCGACGTCGCAGGGGCGCGAGCGGCAACGTCGTCGTCAGCAGTACGGACAGAGTCCTGAGGAGACGTAGGAGAGGCAGACGACGGAAGAGGAGTCGGAGAAGAAGGCGCGACGTCGTCGTCACGGAACGGTGAACGTTCCGCGGAGCACTGTCGCAGCTCCCGCGAGTGTCATCGATGTTAGAATCCCTTTCCCTCTCACTCGCTCTTTCTCCTTATCCATTATTATGCGGGATGTATCGTAAGACGTTGAAGACACTTGAGGAACGGATTCTTTGAGCAACTCGATTCGATAGAGAAAAGCCGGTTTTTCCAGGAAAAATATCGAGGCATCGATTTGAAATTATAATTAATTGAAGTCTGACACTACTTCGTAAATTAAGCTTCAAAGCTATGCAGGTAGATGGCAAACGCAGAAGCGTTTACTTCTTATTTAAGTTCAAGTTTACTTTAATAGAATTTTAATTTGAGACTATATTCGATTGCCGAGACATTTAATTTTAAGAATAAGATGGCGTTCAATTAAATTCTCGCTGTAGAAAAATCCGCATCGGATTAGTCAAAGAATCCGTTCTTAAAATACATGCAGACTTTATGTATCACGGATACGTCCTGTATACTTAATTTAATATTACTACGGCGTGGTTTTGTTATCTTTTATATTTAATTCCCTCTTGCATCGTTTACATTAATCTATTCTTATTTATTTAGTTACCTTTGGACTTCAGAACTTTTCCTATACGTTAAGTTTTTCTGCAGGAGGACTGAAGCTGTACAATGAACATGGAATAAAATCGACTCTATTTGCTTTCGCTCTTTTTTTTCTCTTCTACTTTGGCTGAACGTGGCAATCGTACGGACCCATTGCCTAGATTACCCCCGATAATTATCATATCGATTTTATCATTAGCGCAAGCTTGCAAAACGTCCGTAGGGAGACGAGTGAATATCTTATTCCCTTTGGAAGGAATCGCAAGATAATCGATATCGGCGACGTTAGAATTATGATTTACGCAGAGATTATAAATTTCATAAATTTACTGGATGACGCGCTTGGGGGAATAAGAATGCCACGGAAACGAGTGTTGATAAAATATGTACATGTTGCATTAATTTGCCATTTACCCTTTCCTCTCCTTTATCTTTTCTTTCTCTTCATCTAATCTAATATATTGTACGCGTTTGTCGGATAGATATAAAGTATATTCATATATATTCGTAGCAAGCGGATAAAAAGGATTTTATCATTATTATAATCATAAATAATTGTATTTTATTAATAACATGACTATCATAATATCTTCCATAAGATAGAAAATTTATAAGATCAGAGATATACTGCCTCGTGCATAATTTTCTTTAATTATATTTTTGTGTTCCGTCTATTATAAATATTCTACATACAATATTAGATACAGAGTGTGTCTTAAAACTGTCACTCATTTATTACTCGCCGGATACGCTCCGACATTGAAAAAAGGGATATTTCTTTTAGATTCCAACATTCATAATAACGTTCATTCCCTTTGCGATGTTACCCTCTGTAAGCCTTGAAAATAATTTTCGATGTTCCTAAGTGTATATATATTATCCAACTTATTACACACATATCGTAAGATATAATAAAATTTCCGTACAATCCCGATTTAGTTTTTAGTATTTGCGGCTCTAAGTGCGTGGAATCATTATTTCTCTTCATGAGAAACATATCGGCGTGACGAGAGGATAGACGCTCTCGAACTGAAATGAACAAAATGTAAAAGCACAGTCAATAAAGAGCACTTGCACATCTGGATTACGGCGTTCAAATTGCATTCAAAATGAAACTCCTCTTCCCTATCAATCTTATAATTTTAAATACTTCCTATCAATCTTATGATTCTAATTACTCTTTACAAAAAATTATTTAATTTAACTTTTAATATAAAAAGTAAGGTATAATATTGACGTGTATTATTAATTATTATGGAGACGATTGGGGGAAGTGATTCAACGCTAGAGACTCGTTCATTATTTAAACAGATTAAATTATGCTACATTGAACGGCTGCATGCCAATAAACATCATAATCACGATACGTCACAGATTATCCCTCATATTATACTATACATAAGTTATAATGTTTAATATCAATATGTAAATAATTAGCCTGTTGCGATTGTTGTCATACTTCAAATACAAACGTTATGTTGCATCGTCATCACGAATACGTATAGAATACATTTAAATAAATATTTGATCTTATGTTGTAATAATATATATAAAATATCTATTTTTTTAAATATATTATATATAGGTATATATATAAAATATAATATAAATATCATTTTATATATGTAGGAAAAGAGAGGATGGCTATTAACTGTCAACAAAATAACGTCAATCTATTTGTGGGATTCGATGTTAATCGCGATCGTTCTCGCTTAATCGCTATCGATTTCCTCCGAAAACAGGAAAATCTGCACACACAGGATCCGGTTTAAGCGCGGTGTTTTCGTCGCTTATCCTTCCCACTCGGACACGGACTGTCTTGTATTTCATGAACGGATCCTGCGGTCACTCGGAGGCGACGATCGTTTATCGTCGACGGACCGCCGTATCCTCCGTGATTCCCCTATAAATGCCGGCATTGGGACACTCGTCGACGTAAGACCTGCTGTACGTTGTCTCAGGAGCGACGTCGTGATCCTTACTCTCCCTCTCTCTCTCTCTCTCGTTTTCCAATATCGAAGTTTCGATACCGATTTCCCGAAGCGTACAACCGCGTCGATCGTCGGATCTTGTCGAGTTAGTGCGCGCACTTGTTGACCGTCAACATGAGCAAGAAATCGGATATTCTATACCTGTTCGATCGACCGGCGGAGCCGGTGTACGTGCCCAAGGGAGAGAACAAAGTCGCTTTCGATGTACCACCTAACTACTTGGTAAGCCCGATCCTTGACGATCTTATTGCATATCAATATTGAATTCAGAGACGATATCGATCGATTTGATGCTGCTCTGCAGTTCGTATAGAGAACTGGAAACCTCTCTCGGTCGTGTCTATTAAAATTAAATCTTAGATCGTAATGCGCTCTGGAAACGCGTAAGATTTCTAATATACAATATCTTACGAAGTGAAAGACTCTTTCTTAAGCCCAATTCCTTTTGTTCTTATTTCTCGAATGTAAGAATTTTTAGAAGTAGCGATATAAAATTTATGTCTTTACGTTGCGCAAAGTTCATAAGAATGAAGAGAAAGCTTCAAACGTAAAAAGAACATTTCTTCGTTAGTCTCATTCTGCTACTCATGCTCCATCGTACATAAATTTTTGTGTATAAACTTTGCTTTTTTAACATAATACGTTTACAGCCTGACTCTCGACAACAAGTGGCTACCTCCATTGTGAATCGTTTCGCCGATGACACCAACACGAAAGTTCCAGTGAAGCAGATCAGTCTGCCGGACTTGAGCGTTCCCCTTCAACTTGGACGTCGAGAACCCTTCTCGCTTTTCATTCCTAAGCATCGAAAATTAGCCGCGCGACTTATCGACATCTTCTTGGGTTCGTTTCTTCTTCTTGACTTTATTTATAGTCTTCTGTCTATTTTACTTGTTGAATTATATATATAAGTTTCTTCTTCTTGACTTTATTTATAGTCTTATCTGTCTATTTTACTTGTTGAATTATATATATAAGTTTCTTCTTCTTGACTTTATTTATAGCCTTATCTGTTGACTTTACTTGTCGAATTATATAAATTATACTTTTGTTTACGAACCAATTTAAAAATAGATATGTATATTTCTCAAGCACTAAATTTTTTTTTCGCGAGAGAAAACAATTAAATTTTCATTAATTAGATTAATTAAGCGCATTGCATATATCACACGTCGTACTGTGCTGTTCATGCAAGCTTGATTTAAACGGATCATGCCCTGGGCTGAGAATTTATTGACGCATGTTATAGGTATGCGAACGTATGAGGACTTTCTTTCGGTGTCGGTTTACTGTCGCGATCGCGTTAATCCGGAGATGTTCGTCTACGCGCTCTCGGTGGCGATCCTGAATCGTCCCGACACCAAGGATCTCCCGATACCACCGCTGTCGGAAATTTTCCCGGACAAGTACGTCGATAGTGGAATATTTGCCAGAGCGAGGGAGGAAGCTAACGTTGTACCGGCTGGCTCCAGGGTACTTGTTCTCTGACGCATTAATTACCAACGGGCTCGTTACTCAATTATGCAGCTTAATTAGCTAGCTCATTCTTTGAAACCGAATGATGACATAAATAACGTACAGGTAGTGGAAGGTTTTTTTGGTGTTTTCGACAATTCAACTTTAAGTTTTGGCGAATATAAGGCGAGACAATGAAACGAATAATCGTGTTATTTAACAGTATAGCTTACGTACAATCGATCGTAGAGCTAATGGAACGCGTTAGTGTTGCTTGACCGCAATTTTCCGAAATTTACATGCTTTAGATCGCGTTATTGAATTTGTACAGTATCCCAACAATTTTCAGCGTGTTCGTTAATCGCCTCTTAACTGGAAAGTTATAACGTATACATAAATTATTATAACATAATAAATTTGGAAGATAGGCCGAAACGGACGAAAACCGCTTATACTATAATATTAATTTCCAACACGAAAGTCTTGGTCGTTTTATATTTACTGTCTCTCGTTGTCGTCACAACTCGTATAGGTGCCTATCGAAATTCCGCGGGATTATACTGCGTCGGATCTTGACGAGGAGCATCGTGTGGCTTACTGGAGAGAAGATATCGGGATCAATCTTCATCACTGGCACTGGCATCTGGTCTATCCATTCGAGACCGACATCAGGATTGTTAACAAGGATCGGCGTGGCGAGCTATTCTACTATATGCACCATCAGATCCAAGCCAGGTAGGTGCGCCAGCGGGCGCACGTAAGTCGATAAGATTGGATGCTCTACTCTGTGCACTGTGCCACGAGATCACGCGGGTGTTATAAGCGACCGGATCACATTCTGATCTCGATCATTATTACCGCGCGGGAACTCGTCTCAATTTTAGCATTCGAACAATGTTTGCTAACGAGCTCGAGGAAATGCATTTGCGCGTAGAATAACGGAGCGAAATTATTACGCGATGAATTTCGGAAATAAATGTAAATTTAACTGCCTGTTGAAACACTTATCAGAATACACTGAGAAAATGGGAGCGATGCGAATTATAAGTGAGGTATTACGGGGAATTATTTCTAAATTCTCGAAAGAGATCTCTTTAAAATTTGTAGTCGTATAACAGTAACAGAAGGAAAATCTGCGTTCTAATTGTTATTGTTCTAATTAATAAAACTATTATTCTAACTAAATTTTGTTACTAAAGATGGCTCGAAACAGAGCTGAAACGTCTAGAAACTATTGAATTTTAATAATTAAAAGCGGTTTAAATTTTTATGCATCAATTACTGCGTTATGATTTTCATTAAGCCCTAATTTTTCTGTTCTGTGTATTCTAATTATTATTATTAATTATTTAAAAATCATGCATTTATCAATAAATGTTTGTATTCTGCAACGTCTTTTCTACTGTCTAATATATAAGTCTTCAGTCATCGATTTATGTCGAAGTACCGAATATCCGGATATCGCCTGGGGCGCTACCGATGGGAATTTCCGCGGTCCCTGCGTTATTATTCCGGGTTCCGCATGATCTCTCTTTTCGCAGATACAATTGCGAGCGTCTGTGCAACCGACTGGGCCGAGTGAAGCGCTTCCACAATTGGCGCGAGCCGATCCCGGAGGGTTACTTCCCCAAGTTGGATTCGCTGGTGGCCAGTCGTACCTGGCCCGCCCGTCCCGCCGGCGCCGTTCTCAAGGATATCAACCGTCCTGTGGACCAACTGAACTTCGACCTTCAGGACCTGGAGAGATGGCGCGATCGCATCTACGAGGCTATTCACACTGGCGCCTACATCAACCCCCGCGGCGAGCGAGTGCCTTTGACCGAGTTCGGCGGCGTGGACGTGCTTGGTAACATCATGGAGGCCAGCATCCTCTCGCCTAATCAAAATGTTTACGGGGACCTACACAATCTTGGCCACGTCGCCATTTCCTACTGCCACGATCCCGATCATCGCTACTTGGTAATGGGATACGCAATCGCTGTTTGTTAATTGCAAAAGCTCGATAACGTTAAATAATTCCTCCTTTGATCGCGTGCATGAGAGCAGTCATCACTCTCTTCTTGATTTTTGTTTTTTAACATAAAGCGTCTCCCCCCCGATCGTAAAAAGGATGCGTAACCTCCGAGCACGTCCCTATATTTTCACTTCAAAGAAATTGATGCGAATCATCATGCTACATTGATATGGTAAATGGGATATTTTCCTTTTTCGTGCCCACCTCGCAGGAAACTTTTAGTATCATGGGAGAACCGGCCACCGCCATGAGAGATCCCATCTTCTACAGATTCCACGCTTTCACCGACGACGTGTTCCTGGAGCACAAGAATACACTTCCCGAGTACAGCCTACAGCAGGTGGGTGTACACAGCTGTCTCGCTTCCGCGATATATCATCGGTTCACCCTAGTAATATAATGCCGCTAAGTACGCGTACCATGTGGCCTAGAATTACGCGAAGGCACTCGACGATAAAAACGCCCGTTAAACCATTTAACCTAACGAGGCCGCTGGACACGTCGGAATTTATCAATCTTTTTACCTGCATGCCGCGGCAATCTCGTTAAATACTAACTCGACAAATGAGGCTTTAATTTTCCTCCGTATTCGCGAATAATACACCGGATGTATCCTCTCGAGTTTTTTCATCTCTTCTAAGGAAATCTTTGAAATTCGACGTTTTCTAGATACAAATTTAATCGACGTAATTAACACATTTTAATTAATATATTTAATCAAATCTCACTAATACAATCTCGTAGATTCCAACATTGATTTAAACAGCTCGGCAATTAAATGTTTAAATGTTAAAACTCTTGAAATTTAAGAATCAGTTTCACCGCTTCTTTACATTCTTAAATTTTCACGTGCTAAATTATCTTCATTTTTAATACGTCTCTTAATTAAAGCTCCGGTTTAAATTTATTTTTAAAAAAACTTTACACGGAAATTTATCACGGAGTCTGGCTGAAAGAGTATGATGAAATTTAATTGCCTTCTTTCGCTCGTCCATGGGATTTCAGTTGGACTTCCCCGGCGTAGAAATCACGGATGTAGCGGTGCGGACTCAGAATCAGCCGGCAAATCAGATTTCGACCTTCTGGACCAAGAGCGACGTCGATCTGTCCCGCGGTCTGGACTTCACGCCACGCGGTGCAGTTCTCGCAAGATTCACCCACCTGAATCATAACGACTTCACGTACAGAATCGTCGCCAACAATCGTAATAACGCGCCGCGACGTGGAACCGTTCGTATATTCATCGGGCCCAAGCAGGACGAACGTGGATTGCCTTTTGTCTTCAGGGATCAGAAGGAACTCATGATTGAAATGGACAAGTTTACTGTATTACGTAAGTCATCCATTGTACGTCTATTGTACGTCGTTCTTATTTCTAGATTTAATGTGGTCCTACATATTTAAAACAATACCTTTGTTTTGTTACGTTAACTCAAACGATATTTTGGACATGTAGTTGATTTTTTCATGTAAAAAATCAGTTAAAAAAAAAAGAAAAAATGTATTAATTTCTGTTTTCAGTTCAATTTCGCACATAATTTTCAAAGTATAAACGTATTTTTCTATTTTTAAAGAACGGTAAAAATAAAAAGCATTTTGCGCTATATACCGTATTTTACAAAATTTTCGTTCGCGCGCCCGCCCCCAGTGAGACCAGGATCGAATACCATCGAGCGTAAATCAACGGAATCTTCGGTAACTATACCGTTCGAGAGGACGTTCCGCAATCTTGAAGACAACAGACCGGTCGGCGGCGATACCTTGGACCAGTTCAACTTCTGCGGGTGCGGCTGGCCGCAGCACATGCTGGTACCTAAGGGCAAGGAGGAGGGATTCCCGATGGACCTCTTCATCATGATATCCGATTACACCGGTGACGCGGTGAGTACTTTTTATACTTATCGGGGCTCTCGCGACGCTTAAGAGCTTACAGTCTGCCAGGTGATGGAAACCTTCTAACCTACCCTCATACCTCTCTCTCTCTCTCTCTCTCTCTTTCTATCCTCTGCTCCCTTTTTTCCACTCTTTTAACGGCGACATTCCGATACACGAGAAGGCGTTCGCGTCACTCCGCTTTGAGGCAAAAAAGACAGGGAAAAGGGGAGAAAAGGGGGGAAAAGAAGAGAAAGGAATGGAGAGCAACACGCTAAAGGAATTGCTTTGTCGTCCCGCGGCGACGTGTACAGGTGGAGCAGGAGGAATCGGCCGGATGCAAGGACGCGGTGAGTTTCTGCGGCCTGCGGGACCGCAAGTATCCGGACGCGCGGCCCATGGGTTATCCGTTCGATCGTAGAGCTCGCCCTGGCGTGGAAACCCTGGCCCAATTCCTGACCGGCAATATGGCAGTCGCGCCGATAGTCATCCGCCACACGGACACTGTGTTGCTGCGATCGCGATCCGGAAGTATGGGCAACACCCTCACCTTTGCCTGATGACGATTGACCCGACCGACCGACCGACCGACCTGTACGCAATGGACCTCCGTTCGCGCACCTCCGCTGAGAAATCCAGCGTCTCCGTCCTCACCGCGCATTCCCAGTAGCGATCCTGCAATATCCGTCGTAGAATCGCGACTGATTGCGTGGAAGTGCGACACGTTTCCCATCCTAGTCTATATCCTCGGATGACGAACGCCTGGAATGACGTTGGCGGGACGGGAGCGGATAAAAAGCCGGAGGTGAGCGAAACGCTATTTCCATATCTCAATGACGGAAGATTATCCGAGGGACGAGAGAAAGAGAGAGATTCTCCGTGCGCAGGAATGCACAATCTTGTGCGTTTTAATCGCTAAAATTCCCACATGATACCGCGAAATCGATTCTCGCCGTTCTCCGTCGGCCGAATTTCACCGGAATTGCGGCTATCTCGTAAAACCTTATCTTCTTTAATGTTAAAATATTTTACGGATATTTTTATACTCGAATATTTTCTCTTTCTTAACCGCTTATTTCAATATAGCCGCTAGTATAAAAATAAATCTCTATCGAGCTATCCAATATAAATCAGAGAAAATTGATATATTACTATTTTCAACATCATCTTAATTTTATAAATGTTTTACTGCGAAGAAAAAAGAAACTTGTAAAACCGCGTTTGAATATTTTCTTGGACGATCTTGGAGTTGTTTTATTTACGATTTCATAACTTGCGCATCCACGAGCAATGAGTACCGCTTAACAAATGTATTTTTGCGTAAAAACGGGAACAAAGACGTGTCCCGAACGCTCAAGCGAAGCTTTTCTCTTCTTTCTCTCGTTTCACTCGCATTACGGGAACTAGATTGTAGGAAGCAGCAAATGTAAAAAGCAAAAAAAGATAAAAATAAAGTCTATGCAAATTAGATGCGCTCTTTTTTTTCACCCTTTTATCGTATTACGGGTGTTGAAAGCGAGCGACGATGTCTCGAATACACGAGACAGCGTGAGAGAGAGCATCGGACGGCAAAAAGAGTCTAAATGATTTAATTAAATTTTTCAAATTCTGTTGCGCAGAGCTAAACTGTATTTTCATTAGTATTAAGTTTTACATAATTAATACGAGTGATGCGTCTCTCTCGCGGTTCCTCATATAAAGTATTTTTCGAAATATTCAACTTGGAATATTTTTTAAATTACATTTCTATCATATATTTGCCTCGTTGACATGTCAAAATTAATGGCGAGACTAACGAAACAAACGTTTGTCGGGAAATAACGGGGGAGGGTGCTTGTGCGTCATCTAGTTTATAATTAACATAATTTCGTTGAATTACTCAGCATCTCTATCAAAACCGGCGTAGCCAACACCCTCATGCATATACATGTCATATATGTGTATATCCAAAACGTTGCCTCGCTTTCCGCACGGGTCCTGTTCTCTCCTCCAAATGCATTTATCACGCGTTTGTTTCTGCTAGTTCGCAGCTAGACGGACGTGGATTTATTCCTGCGAGGGGTAGAAATAGGGACGGGCGGACGAAGATAGATACACGTTTACGACCGTCGCTTAAGCGACGGTCCCTACCTCTAATATCACTCGCGCGGTTATTCAAGGATTCCGTTTCACGCGGGCATACATTTGAACGTTTGATATACCGTGCGGCGCCACCGCGCGCCTGGAGGCAGCAATTGAAGGGCTTGGAATTATTTGTCACCCGCGCTAAGACATGACTAACCGTAACACGATCGCGCGTTACGGAATTCAAGACGACGATAATGCACATTCCGTGTTTGTCGATTTGTCGAGGGAGATTTAGTTGGATAACGTTATGAAAAGTTATTTCCTGTCAGAAGTACGCGTCGAATGTTGAAAAATTTTTGAGCTTTAACTTTTTTCAAGAGATTTTTATGAATTTTATAATCTAGACAATTACTCAATAAAGAATTAAGTGCCTGTTGTTTCTTTTTGATATAACGTATAATTTAACAAGAAAATCACATTAGAACGGATGGGCTTCTCTTACACCTCTCGACGAGCAAGAGAGTGAAGTTTATGTTCTGTATTTTGTCACGCGCTGAATGTATTTTAAAGGACACACTATTGTGGTTTTGTCCAACTGTTATTTTTGAATTTTCCAGTGTGATGTATGCATACATGCTCAAAGGTGAGAAAGGAAGTTAGGGGAAATGGGTAACACGGGCGAAACGGTTGCGGTAATGAAGTCGTTGTAGAACCAAAAGGATGAAGCAGTGAAAGAGAACATTGCCGACATTTTAATTTAAAAAATGAATCAAGTTAGGACATATTTTAAAAACGTTAAACGTGTAACATTCTTTTTGTTCGTACATGTATGAAAATACAAGTTATTACGAGAATTAAAAATAATAGTACCTAATTTCTCGTTATTTTTGCCTTTTTCTTCATTTAATGCACAAGTATAATATTCAAAAAATATAAATATATAAATAAGCATTTAAAATGCCAAATAGACAACAATATAGCGCAAAAATTTACTTTATGTAAAAATGTACAAATATATTTGAAGCGAAAAATTTCTCATCCTCTCATACACATATACGTACAGACACAGCTTGCAAAATGAGATATTCCGGATAGAAACAATCAAAACAGAAGTCGAGAAAAGTCATACGAGTGAACAATTGTTCTGTACACTTGAATGTGCATTTGTATTTCCTAACAATTTTCCCTTCAATCATTTGAATTATTTATTACGGTTTGCATTTGACAATGTAAATTAGGTAAGAAACATACAATTTAATATATTATCAATTACACAATCAATAGTAAATTCTAAATGTGTGTGTGTGTGTGTGTGTGTGTGTGTCTGTGTGTATCTACATAATAATCGTTAGGATAAATTATCTTCAGGGTTAAAAGCACAGTCCTTACTCTGAACGTCCATTTCCTTTATTCAAGATTTCACGAGACGAGACGTTTCATTTATGACGCATATAAAGCTAGAGTGCGAGCGTCCTATGAAATGGACGTAGCCCTGCCAGGTATACATCTCATATCGTAAAGGAGAAGAGCACGTCTCGCCGTTTGACTTAAAATCTAAAGTCAGCTTTAATTAGATATACAGCGCTAGAATTATTGCGCCAATTATACGGCGTCACTAGAATCTGTATTAGGTTTTGTACAAAAAAAAATCGGCGTTGTGTGCTATAAAATTATCGGAAATAGAAGTAACTTATTGAAATTATTATTATTAAAAAAGATAATTTCATAGAATTGTTTAAGAAAGACAATTATTCAACGAGACCCTCGTCGCAAGATAAACTTTCCTAATATCTAAAAATAATTGATTCATTTAGATCCCTATTAATTAAGATTTAGACTTAATTTCCGACGTTGTGTTCTGGCCACCTAATTTCCTGATATCGATCGCGATGAGCCACAACTCTACAGACAGACAGGAAGGGACTGGCAAAAGTGATCGCGTTATACGTTTCGCTACTTCGGCGAGCATGAAGCTGCTTTCTACCCTGTCACGAATGCACCTTAATTTGGAGTAATTAGTGGAGCATGTTGTGTGCCTGCGTACAATTTGTAGCCGCGTGTTTGTTAATGGTGAGTTAATCGGCCATTAAGCCTTATCACATTCGAGGGATTACTCCAGGCAAATAACAGTATTTTAATGCCAATTGCTTGTTTATTGAAATAATATTGTAGACTATTTAGCTGGTTGCGCAATTAATAATAATTATTGATGCGATATATATTACGGGTTTTCGCATACATTATGCGCCACTGTCATTTGCGGATAATTGTCGATATCATACTTAACAGAATAATTCACATTCGCATACACTAGACTGTATTTATAACTTTGTTTACCTCTACCACCGTATCAACTCCACTTTTATCGAACTCCGATTGTTTTCCAGTCGGTGGAGAAAAACAGACCCAAGTGTTTTTCGCCATCAATTAAAAAAATACATTAAGGGAAATTGCGCCCTTTTGATCGCTGCGATGCGGCAAGGAGCAATCTGGCTGAGTTTATTTATTTATTTTCGTTTGCTAATTTTTTTCCGCCGTATCACTGCAAGGGTTTGTTTGAAATTTGCTTACTTTCCGCGTAAATATTAATAAAACCGGCCGTTTTTCCATATTCCACTTACTTAATTAATAACGTAGCCGCTGTTTGCTCGCGCAGGCACTCAATACACAATTTCAGGTACACGTGTACGGCATATGCGAGCTTGCAGACGAGTGCCTGTTAAGTTTCACGATGTCGGAGGAGAGCGAGCGCGTAAGCAACGGAAACCAGCCCCCGGTATACTGTGTGCCGAAACTTCCCTCGCCACGTTCGTAAAAGTCATGTCAAGTACGTCAGACACTCGTTGCGGTTAATATTTGTTCCCGCAGCGTGTCCGCGTCCGCGGCAATATTAGAAGGAATAGCACGAGGAATCTAACACGACGTCCAAATTAATTGATTCGCGCGAAAATTTATACATTATAAATTTCCATTTCCATTTCCACACAGACAGCGACCAACCTTTCCGTGTTCTAACGCTATTTAACGTCGTGAATAAGTAAAGCTGTTACTCTGATAAGGGCCCGCCCTGGTACGTGGATCTAATGGATCTCGGCCGTTACTTCTCGCGGCCCATCTCGCTTCTTTTGGGAATACGATTTCCCAGCTGCATTAGGCGAGATAAAGATAATATCGCATTCGTATCTCGATACATTTGTTGTGGCGGAATAAACGAGGCTGTCTGTCTGCTTATGCGGATAACAGGCATGGGAAATGAGGATGAGAATGCGGAGGCATGCTCCAAGCCCTCAAAGGAGGCTTTAGTCCTTAGTCACTTATAGCAAGCTCATTAAAATCAGTAATTACGCTCGCAAACTACCAAAGAATTTCTAAACAGGATTATCGCTCCGTTAATCATACGCTGCTCATCGCTAACTGGGTGGGGTAATGACATGCGACGCGTGATAGTTCGGAGTTTGTATACTTTCCGCAGTGCAGCATCAGCTCTGCTTAGGCTTTCCTCAAGTGCAGGCGAGTAACCCAGTAATTCCCCAACGCCGTACCCGTGCACGGAACCTTCCACCGAATAATATTTGTAGGATCAAATACACGCGGAATAATTATGTCTACAATAATTAAAAGTCTACGATATTTCGATACAATTAGAGAAATATTTCTGCGCGAAAACATATTTACATATGTATATGTATTGTAATTAAACGCGTAATTAAATAGGACCACAATATAAAACATAAATATCGCACATGTCGTTCTAACAGGATCACGCGAGAGATATAGTACTCCGCGGGTCTCCCGATCGCAAAATAAAATTATTATCGCGCGTGTTTACGTGTGGACGCTTTCAGCCTCATCTCATTATTTCCGCGTTTGCCGTCTCTCCGCAACGTCGTTACGTCGCGTCGGCCGCGCAATCCGCTTACCCGGTCCCGGTGCGTTCGCTATAAGTCACACGTAATAATTATACCCTCCTCGCGGAGGACCCCGAGGACCTGACGACTCGATCCCGATCTCATTCGGTCAAAAGCGAATAGTCACGTTGGCGCGTTAATCGTTAAAGTTAAACTCCGTTTGGGCATCCGCATAGTTCCCGCACGCCAATATAACTTGGAGATTTATCACCGGGCACACGTGCCACGACGGCGTTAATTATTCCGCTTTTATTGAATACCGCGGTCTTTTTTACGCGGCCCAGATGAAAACCCATCGCCCCCCCCCCCCCGGGCGCGGCGGCGGGACTTTTTTATCCGACGATCATATCTCTTCGGCCATTCGTTTGACTTCTTCTCTATCTCTCTTGTTGGATACGGCGGTTAGCATCGGGCATATATTACCCGACAATGTCAAAGTATTGTATCCCCAGCTGACCCAGACCGGTTGGTTTCACCTCAATTTACCGCGGAA